GGATATACTGCTCTTTGTCCTCTCTATAGACTATGCTTAGATGGGTCAATTCCCCGCAACGGCAAGCGCCAAAAACTCCTAATATCAACGCCACCTAAAATCAACAAATTTAATAAATATAACTCAGTTAAACTATTCAGTAGAACCTACCTTATTCATAAGATGATCTAGGGCTAAGGCTTCACGCAAAAATTGTTCCCTTTGCAACATCTTGCATTTTTTTAGTTGAAAATGTTTGTGCTTAGACTTTAAAAATGCCACTAGTCTTCCGAATTTAGAAATTTCAATGTTCTTGTAAACTCTCAAAGTTGACTGCAACATGGAATATTTAGTCCACAATGTGGATGGAGCCAATTTCTCACTTAAATTAAAAAAATAAGCCAACAAGACACCTTCATTTACGCCTTTCACCCCTTGTTTGCTTTTTCAATCTTAAAATTCCTTCAGTTCTTTGTTGTATATAGATTTTGATTTCTCCGGAATGATGCATGCAGTAGCCGCATTAGCCTTTTCTAAAATTTCAGATTGAATTTCCACATTTTCCATTTTTTTCAGTCTTGGTTTTTGGATTTCAACGTGATTTCAACTCAAAAAATATTGTTTGTTTACTGACAACCCTTGGTTACAGACATAATTTAGATTGACATATGAAAATAAATAAACAGACGATATGATAATATAAAAATTATTAAACATTTGTGTCTACAAGGGTGTTTCTTTAATATATCTCGAAAAACTTAAGAAGCAATTCCTTGTCAAAAAGTAAGGGAGGCCTTTTATAAATTATTTCTAAAAAGTCTACTCTTGGTGTTATACCCTTTAACTCTTCTGTTTTTTTACATTTTTTTACTGGAATGTTCATTGTTTTAATAAAAGAATATAAAAAATGTCCTGTTTTATAATTTATTTAAAAAATACTAAGTTTAAGTGACAATGTTGTAACATCTCATTTTTGTTGCGATAACATATGAATCAAGGTCGGAGCGCTTGAAGCCAATCATTTTTTTAAGTAGGACTATGCAGATAATACGTAGTAATTTGGATAGACGCCAATACGGCCTCGTTCTCTAACTGTGACATTTCGGCTGAATAAATTAGGCGGTAAATTAACGGTGTGGTAGCGTTAATTGCCGCTTCTGTACTTGTCACACTCCTATGCCGTTCAAATCCATCATGGGACTCTATTAAAATATACGTACTATTTTTTGTATTTTACTGCAGGATAAAACATACCTACTGTGAATATATTTTTCAAAAGTCAAATTTTCACTATATCACATTATTAGAAGTACATATTCTTTAATTTGCTTAATTGTTCTTCAACTATTTATGGTAAAACTTTTACGAACGAAATTAGAGACTGAAAAATAAGAGTAATATTTTTTTTCATATTGCTTGCGGAAAATTGTTTTTTAAATATGAACCAATATGATTAAAGCAAGAGTACGCTCTCTTCATGCTGTTTTCCATCAACTTTGTTTATGTTTGGGGGGTGTTTGCTTTTAGCGCTTGTGAGGTCAAGCCTTATTAACGTGAATTCTGTCTTAAAGCGGCTTCGCAGAAATAAGACATTTAGACGTCTTGCTTGTACCATAATGGCTTACGTTGTAAACATATAAATACACTTTTATTTTCATCTTAACGTTTTTTTATTTCATTTCACTGCCATGCACGCTTAACCCTGAACTGCAGCAGTGAAATTACATTTTTTTGCAGTTCTGCTCTCAAATTGGTCTATCCAAATTAATAAGCTAACAGTTGAAATTTCTCAAACTCCTTCTAATTGTGACTCCAATATTTTTTTTTATTCAAATTTTATATACAGGGTGGAACATTTTAATCGCCCTTATCTCCGACAGTTTAGGTTCTAGCGAAAAACATAATAGTTGACAGCTTTGATATGGGAAAACTGTTCCTTAAATTTGACCTTGAGTCACCGCTCAAGGTCGGCCAAGGTCAACTTCTATTTCTCACATGGGAGCCTCTATTTTTGACCCCGGAATTGAAAAGAGCGGAAATTTTTACGTTCGGGGGTCAAAATGGTCTCATAAGGTCATTTTGAGGTCAACATAACCTTTGCTACTGTTGAAATTAATTTAATTTTTAAAATTAGATTTAAATTGACAGCTTCTGAGTGATTATTAAACATTTGACCTTGAAATATCCAAATCACATAAAAAGAATAACGTTTTACCACCTTACGTACAATTTTAATTCCATATTAAAAAGAGGGAAAATTGGCCTTCAAATGAGATTAAGGTAGAATAGAAGGTCATTACTAATTAGTCCCTATTATACCTTACAAAGAGGTCATATTTCTATAGAAACAACCAAATTACTGGCTTGAATATTGTGTTAAAGGTAATGTCGACCTCAGACTTATGAGGTCATTCCGAACCGTGACAAAAGACACTAACTGAATGTAAAATGTTCCGTTCTTTTCAATTACAGGGTCAAAAATAGGGGTTCTTATTTGAAAATTTGAAGTCGACCTTGACCGGTGACCTCAAGGTCAAATTTAAGGTCAGTAACAATTTTCTCCCATCAAACCCCACTTTTATGGAGATAATTTTTCGCTAGAACCTAAACTGACAGAGATATTACCGTGGGGCGATTAAAATGGCCCACCCTGTATAAGTTGAGCTATAAACAAACGTATCAAGTATTTTTTAAGGATAGTAGGGCTCTTATGAAAGAATGTGAATTGTTATCAGTCTTGGGTGTGAGAAGTACAATGTCGTTGTACCTCCTGTATAACTTTTTTACATTATTTTTTAGTTTTCACTCTCCTGATTCCAAGAGATACATCATCCCGTATATTATTATTGTAGCTTTTATACTTTTCATTAGGAAGAAATTGTCAAATTTCATTTTCATTTCAACAAGAAAATTTCCGATGACGTTATAACTTGGCTTCCACAAAATACAAGGAACATTTTTCTGAAAATTACGTGTGTTGTTCAGTGATAATCATAACGAGAAAGTGATCTAATGATTTAAGTGAAACGATAAAAAGACATGAAAATAATTAAACTTGATTCCACTTGTTCAAATTCGATAAACTGAGTATTTTTCACAAAACCCACTAAGGTTTTGTGAAAAAAATTTTCAAATGGTTCACAATACTTTTTAATTAACAAAATTTGACTATAGTAGTATTATTTGAGTGTAGTTTACTATACGGAACAAAATCTTAAAAAAAAAATTCTCGACAAATATCTAATTTTCATAATAATTTTAAAACAATTATTTTTTATGGAACTTATATATTTGAAAAGAATCCATAGTGCTATGAGCACCAAAAATTGACCAATCACCGTCTAATACTATAGAATTTCCAATAATTAGTTTTAAAAATGATCCTCTTTGATACCAAATATCTAGATACGCTAAAGAGATATACTCAGACAATCTAATAAATAATTATTACTCCGCTACACAAAAAAAAAACTCGTGTGACATATCATTTCCAAAGTATTTTCATGAGCTGAAAACGATACTGTAGTCAGAATTTATGCACAACCGGCCAATGTCTTGTAAAATCTATAATTATTTAGAATGAAATGGACCCAAAAATCGCTCAATTTAGCAATTTAGAAGGAATCTTCGCTTTGCTCAGACTAACGAGCTTATGGTTAATCTTTGTTTCTAGAGTATCTTATTCTTTTGTTTTCAAATGATCTGCGAAGAGGATGTGTTTTTCTTTTTTCTTCATATTCCAACAATAGTCAGCTAACATATTTGCGTTCCATCTTCCTTGATATCGCTTTTCCATTTCTTTGAGGTCCTGATGTTCGCTGAAGTCCTCTAAGTTGGCTGGAAAGTAATCGAGGAATCTTACACGATTCATTACAGTTAGATTCTTGAATTTGCTGACCATTTTTTTAACTTTTTCACTTTTATTATTCCCAAGAATATTTTTACACACTTCTTTAAAACTCAACCCTGCATATTTTTCTTTAATATTCACTGTTTCGACAATTATAATTGTTTGGGCTCCATTTTCACCTTAACTATAGATTTTACAAGATACTGGCCGGTAGTACATAAATTCTGACTACGGTATTGTTTTCAACTGTTCTAAATACGTCGGAAATAACATGTCAGATCTTTGGATTTGAACTTTTGTGTGTACTTGATATTCTATTAATTACAATGGTCAACCTTTAATAATAGAAACCAAATTTTGACTAAGAGTGTGTTTTTTCGATTATTGGCATCAAAATGAGTAGTACTACCGGAATATACATCTTCGCACTCGAGTTTTTTTGTGTGCCGGTTATTTAAAATAATAATACATTCAAGTAGTACTAATAAGAAAACTCTTACCGAATACATATATGAAAATAATGAAATAATGTTTTAAACATTCAACAAAATTCACCCTGGACAATGAACGCAATCAGCCGCGATAGATGAGGTCCTGCTATGCATTTTAATATAACATTTTAACATATATAAATTTTTTAGTAGGCATTATGATGTCAATGATTGATTTCTAAACAACACACTTTCGTAGCTGTTCCAAAATTGGTTCTCTATTTGATGCATCCACTGATCACTGTTTCTTTTCGGATTATAGTTTTTTTATAACGTGAAATTTTCAAAGGCAATAAACGCAAGGAAACCAATTAAATCAAAGAACAATTTAATTAAGAATGAATAAATCGATATAATAACGGAATAACGGAAGAAGCGATTTTCTTTGACGGTTTGTTAAAAAAAAGAACATTACTGCAAATTATTATGAACGTTCGCATTCCTTTCCAGGCAGAAGCTCTTCTACTATTTATAATGAGCGCAGTGAACTCTTTCGGTATTTACATAAAAATCGTTGACATAACTTTCATCTCTTTATGAGTATTAGAAGCCGCATACATATTCATTGCATCAAAGAGTCGTCGCATATTAAAATGACAATTTCCTATTTTCTTTTCAAATTGAAGTTCAAACCTACATCATTAATAATTTATCCTTTTGAAACACATTGTTTGTTGCAGAAATTAGAAGAAAGAATCACAACAATGACGGACCAGGACGAAAAGGCTAAATGTCAGCTTATTCTAGAGCATGCAAATGTAAGTAGACGCCAGATTTTTCAATCGATGCCAAACAGGCAGTACTAGAGATATTTTTAATCGTGTATTATTCTGTTAAGCAAGAACATACTCCTATTGTTAATAACAAGTTAAAAACAGTACACATAATCACCTATTATTCGCTTTTCCTAAAATATTCTATTATTAAAGCTGACTAAACTCATCTCGTCCACGAGATGCGCAGATCAAGAAGAGAGTCCGCAGCTGGAAGCCTTAATAGTGAGGCAGGTACCTTCTATGAAAAAAATTTGCTTGTGTCTAGTAATTTTATGTGGTTTTTATAAATATTACAGTCACACAATTTTTTTCTGACCTCCAAATCCGAAAAACAATTTTTTTTGTGTGGCTGTGTTTAAATGTTTGAGCTAATTACCTCTGCGCATCTGAAACTCACGGATAAGATGAATGTAATCAAACTGTACCAGAGAAAATTGTTGAAAATGATGCAAAAGGTTGCGTTTGATCTTTCGAAGATTTATTGTTTCTAATAGTTAGAGAATATTTCAAAAACTAGCCAACAATGTGCTTATCCAACAATCACCGACCTTAATCAATAAGTAGTCCAATAAGTAACTAATCCCTCGGAATGCACTACTGCCTACAATTTTTTTGCTAACGTTCTTCCTAACAGAGACATCGGGCCCCAAAGATGTACCTAGAGATTTACCGGATCTAGAGAGTATAGAGAGTTTAGAAATCGACTAGCACTAGCACATATTTTTTCAAAATTTTGGCAGTTGTTGCCATACTGTCGAATTGGAAATATTATTTTTATTTACTGTCAACAATTTTCGAGATAAATCAGTTTTTAAAACTATGGTAAAAACATTTAGTAGTGCAAGGACAGCAACAAATAAACTTTAATTATTTCATGCATAATCTTTTAGTCTAAAAATCTGTAAAATACCTTAAAGTTGGCATTTTATAGACAAGAAATTGCACTTTTACTACTTTCTATACGTGTTTTGGTGATGCATGTATTGGTATCTTGGAAATTATTATACAGGGTGTTTCAGGATGAGATGTACATACTTCAGTATGCTATTCTACGTTAAATTTTAAGCAAAAAATTCCCTATGAACTTAGGTCTGGAAACGCTTCGTTTAGGATATCCAGGACATACATGATATAAGTTTAGGATGTCAAATTAAAAAAAATAAATAGCATTTTCTTTAATAACTCTCGACTACTTTGAGTTAAATTCATGAAATTTTGTATGCGGAGATTTCTTGGGACGGGAAATTCAAATTTTATTGACGATTGGCTGCATCATACAGAGGGCGCCATAAGCAACCATTAGGATCCTTTTAAATCGCTTCAACTTTTTTGTGCCACTGTGTGTGTGTCATTTCGGCATAGAAATACATTTTCCCCTATCTTTTCTACTTAAGAAATGTACACCTTATTGAAGTCTCTAGGAGCAGCCATTTCCGTTAAAAACTCATCTAAAGATGATGATGCATGAAAATTATGTATTAGAGTGATAATTATGTATCAGCTTCGTCAGAAAAAGCATCATTGGAACTACTTGACGATTAGCGTTAATCTCTTCACAACATTTTTGTAAGAATTGCAAAAATAAAATCTCCAAACAAAATGTACAAAACCTGACAACAATAACTTTCGATTCACTCTAGGTACATAAGTTGCATGCATCATCATCTTTAGATGAGTTTTTAACGGAAACGGCTGCTCCTAGAGACTAAAATTGTACATTTCTTAAGTAGAAGAGATAGGGGAAAATGTTTTTCTATTCCGAAATGACCTAGTAAATGTGGCATTTTCGAAATCGTCTGTAACTTTTTTTAGAGGAATTTTTAAAATCTGGAAACACATTTTGACAGCAAGTTTTTTGGAGGAATATATTTAGATTTTCATTGCCACGTTTCGGTTGCGAGGAACCATCATCAACTTTATTTTTTCTTATGGGGGCTATATTGAATTTTAAGCTTAGTAAATAGAGCATTTTTTGGCTTTTCAATGATATAAGTAAGAAAAAAATTCAAAAACCACCTCAAAAATCAATATTTTAATAATTTTTAATAAATCTGGCAACACTGCATAATTTTTTGAAACTATTATAGAATAGCCTCAAATTTTTGTAAAAGCTTAGATATTTTTAATGTCATGGTATTGAGATAAATAAAAATGATTATATTTTTATTATTTTATTTTATATTTTTTTAAATGTTTATAACTTTTAAGAAAAAATGTTTGAAATTAACCCAGCTACCCTCTGTCAAAGTTTGTCATAGATCTTGTAAAACACCCTGCCTAAAATTATGTTTCTATAAATGTGAATTTGAAAAAGTATATATTCAGTTTTTCTATACAGGGTGATTCATTAACAATGGGAAAGTCGAAAGCTGAAGATACTACACGTAAAATGGTGACCATTGGCGCAAACATGCCTTATCTGAAAGTTGATAGTTTAGAAAATACAGGGTGTTGAAAGTTAAAATTTTAAATCGTTTTTTGCGATTATTCTGAAAATATGTAGGTTAGGAACTTGGCAATGTATGAAACTATATTTTTTAGGCGACGAATAAAATGCGTGTTATAATTTCAGCATTGCTCATAGAGGGCGCCACTTACGACCAATTTTACCGAAAATTTAGTTAATAACTTTTTACCCGGTATATTTAACATGAAACTTGATTCAAAACCTGAAAGAGCTATCATTATTCCATTAATTATGTACTCTTGTTTCATTTCGGTATCTCGATCCGTTTTCGAGAAAAATCGATTTAACAAACACTTTGTTTTGATAATATGAGAAATTAAAAGCGAAACAAACCAAGTGTTTCTTCGTGTTATTACAACAATTAACAATAAAACAAATAAAATACGTAATTATGATTTAAAGTAATTGTTCGAAGAATCCACCTTTGACACTGATACACTTTACACGGTTTCTGAGAGATCTTCGAGTTTGAAACAGCATATTGGGATTGCGTCTGACTTCGTTGGCAGCGCAACAGTATTCTATGTCACAACTCTTCGCACGAGGCAATAGATTCTTTGTAAACTATATCTTTAATTCGAGACCAAATAGAAAAATCAAGAGGATTGAAGTCCGGACTTCTGGATGGCCAAGCAAAAATGCTAAGATGGCCAATCCAGCGACTTCGAAAAACTGCATCTAAATATGCACGCACTGGCCAAGAAGAATGCGGTGGAGCTCCGTTGGGCATGAACCACATGTCTCTTCTTAAATAAAGTGGAACTTCTTCAAGCCGTGGAAGCATTTTTACTTGGCCACCCAGAAGTACGGACTTCAATCATCTTCATTTTTCTATTTGGAAGAATCTATTAGTTCGTGTGAAGAATTGTGGCAAAGAATACAAATCGCTGCCAACGAAGTCAAACGCAATCCCAATATGTTGTCTCAAACTCGAAGGTCTCTCAGAAAACGTTGTGTAAAGTGTGTAAATATCAACGGTGGATTCTTCGAACACTGACTTTAAATCATTATTACGAATTTCATTTGTTTTATTGTTAATTGTTGTAATAACACGAAGAAACACTTGGTTTGTTTCGCTTTTAATTTCTCGTATTATCAAAACATAGTGTTCGTTAAATCGATTTTTCTCGAAAACGGATCGAGATACCGAAATGAAACAAGAATACACAATTAATGGAAAAATGATTGCTCTTTCAGGTTTTGAATCAAGTTTCATGTTAGACATACAGGGTAAAAAGTTATTAACTAAATTTTCGGTAAAATTGGTCGTAAGTGGCGCCCTCTATGAGCAATGCTGAAATTACAACACGCATCTTATTCGTCGCCTAAAAAAATATAGTTTCACAAATTTTCAAGTTCCTAACCTACATATTTTCAGAATAATCGCAAAAAAACGATTTAAAATTTTAACTTTCAACACCCTGTATTTCCGAAACTATCAACTTTCGGATAAGGCATGTTTGCGCCAAAGGTCACCATTTCACGTGTAGTATCTTCAGCTTTTAATTTTCCCATTGTTAATGAATCACCCTGTATAAATTAGTGTCAGTTCGAACCCAAAGCGTAAATCTTTAGGTTCTCCTTTGGTACTCGATATCTCCGTTAGAAGGAACATTAGGGAAAAAATGATAGAAAATCCTAGTACTATATACTTCCTCTATAAGCTCCCGAAAGATTAGTAGATACTTACGGGGTACCGTGTATTATTTTATAAACAATTTATTGATTAAATATATGATACAATAATCAACGTCCCTTATCCCTTACTTTCTATAGACTCAAAATTCATGAAAAATCTTCCCCATTTTCCGGAAGGTAAAGTCCTTCGGGAAATCAAAGTAAACACAGCTCAGTGTGAATCTTTTACAGTCGGTCCAAGCATCGCGAAATGTATTAACTCCCCGAAGCTAATTACAGTAACATTACTAAAATACAAAAAAAAGTTTGAATTCGGCACACCGCAAAGCGCGACCTACATTTCCGAATAGATGTAGAAATTGATCGATGGAATATTAGCGGTGTGTTTTTTCGATATATAGTGACGTCGACCATTGCATGATTCCAAGGACAAAACTAATTGATTCTCAGATACATTATAGATATAATTTCGCAAACCGAAATGAAATATTAACGAACGTGAGACACACACTTAAGGGTGGAAAGGGATTGATATTTACCTTGAGGGTAAAAGGGGATTATCCGAAGATTTTGTTCAGGTGGAGATTTTACATTACATTTACATTTTACATCAAATTTGAAAGTAGTTCATTAAGTATTTTGCAGGATAGGTGAAGTTGTACGAGACAAAAGATTGTTGATGTTAAAATTTAGAAATATTTAAATTTATCCACCAGTAATGCTCTAAAAAATTAAAATGAAAACTTGCATAAGTATGCAATATGTATGTCCCAGGCCTACTTTAATTTATTACCAAAGGATCTTTTGCCATCCAGCAGATATGGATTTAATTGTGATTATCCTGCTACCTGTTATTTCACAGGGACTATGAAAACAA